TACATTATCCCGCTTATTACACGGCTACTTGCCACATAAGGAAAAAAACTGGACATGAATATAAATTTGAAACATTTTATTGACATATTTGTTTTAAATTAACATTTTTAAACGATAATCTTTGTTGGCGCGGACTGATTTTAAACATACAAGTAGTACCGGCTATGCGTTATTACTTTGGAGCGGTCATTATTTTCCGTCTTTATTACTGTATATTTGGATCACATTAAAAAAAGTTCAGAAATAAAAAACTTATTTGATGGCTCTTGAAATGATCGTTACGGATTTTCTTTTCTTTGCTCAAAAATGGCTGAAGCATTTAGTGTTTGTTTCTGCTTTTATATCAGTGGCATTTTAGTATTTTCATATTGAGAATAGTGTACAAGTAAATGATGTAATATCGTAAATATTTAGCTGAGGCAGGTTGCACCAAATTCAGGACTAACATACATGCACATGGTTTGAGGAAACCTTTGCTTCAGAATTCTTCAAAAGCTTTAATCACCAGGTATGCTACATTTACAAGAATCATTTCTGGTTTGTTTTATGCTGCCTGCAAAATATGTGCAAAGTAGCAGCGCATATAATAAGGATTAAGGTAAGTTCTAGTTCACATTATAATTAGGAAGATGAAGAGGTGAGGTGGGCAAAATCAAAAATTTCCTCCTGCTTAAACTGCTTTACGATGAGTAAGTTACACTTTGAAGGTTGTAGTTTGAGAACCACTGATCTAGAGTCATTTACTTTTATGCCTCCAAATTTTGTTGTCATTTTTGGAGCACTTTATTTTTATGGTTAAGCCACAGTTTTACAAATTTTAATCGTGTCTTTGCCAATCAAAGAGGCAAATTGTTCTGAAGGCTTCCCTTTGGTAGAAGGATTTTTGCTTACTGGCCACAAGATGGAGCACTTTCCCTGTGAACAACTTCCCATTTGTACTAAATATTTTTGCTGGCAAATTGTGACATGCCTGTATTCTCAGATGGGGCTTTGTGTTATAAATTCTTAACTGAATATACCTCAGTTTAAAAGATTTGTGTAGTTTACATTCAAGAATTGATGTTCAATCAGGTGACTAATTATTGTTACTTGCATATTATGGGTGCTTAAGTTTGAATTTTGAGGAAGACGACTAGTTTCCTTGTCAGTTTTTCAGTTTGTCTTAATCTGAAATGTTTTGTGCCTTGTAACTTGTGTTGTTGATCTTTGGTATTAATAGGTGATTTGTAAGTCTGATGCTCCCACTGGAGATGTCTTGCTCGATGAAGCATTGAAGCACATCAGAGAGACCCAACCACCTGAAACAGTACAGAGCTGGATTGAGCTGCTAAGTGGTTAGTGAAGCCCGTCTTCATGACAGTATTTTCTATATTGCCTCTCCTTCGCTGTGTAATCAATCAAATATGCATTAAAATGGTCTTCCCTCTGGCGCTATTTCCATATCTTGTTTTTAGGTGGTTCCCAGTTCCTGTTTCCATTTGTATGACTGTGGGGCTCCAGTTGGCTCATGTTTATATGACGTTTTGGTTTCCGGTTTCACTGAGAAATTGGATTGATTAACAAATGACTTCACTTGGCTCGTGCTTGCAATGTCCCCTCAAGTAGTTGTTCCCAGCATACATCATTGTTGTTTTGCTCAGTTTTAACTGCTAGCAACTTCAACGTTGAGGAGATACTGGTTAGTTGGTTCACTTAGCCCCATAGGTCAGTCATGTGCTCAGATAGATCAAAACCCTTCACCCAAAATAATAATGGCAGCCCTGCAGCTTAACAATCCAGATGTGACTTCAGAGTTTGTAACTTTTTTTTTTGCTTTCCGATTTGCCATTTTCTCCTGATATCAGCTTGTAGCATTCTGTGTTTGGCTGCCAGTAGTAATAGACCAGATCAGAGAGGCAACTGGTGCTGTGTGGGTCTGTTGTGTTAATTATCAAGGCTCCAGCTTGGACATAACACTGAAATTAATTTCTTTCAAAACCTCTCGCTTTGGAACGCCTGAGAGAAAATGTCAGATGGGTGGAATTTAATAGACTAAGCAAATAGACCATGACCTTCAACTGAATAAGCAGATATGATGAGCGAATGTAAAATAAATCAGTGGCCCTCCACAGTCACACTTTAGCTCAAACGGCTCTCCTCTGGTTCCTGCTGGTAATGATGGAAGGAAAGAAGCTTTGAACCAAACAGTAGCTAGGATTACTGTGCACTGTCAGTCACTTTGGTTAATATCAATGTGGACTCTGTGGGAACCAAGTGGCCGATGTGAACTGACTTTAAACTTGTCAGTGACTGACAGTGCACAGTAAGCCTATCACGGTGACTCTTGAAGCAGAGTTTCACCTGTCAGTGTCTGTGCTTGCTAGAGCACTGGACCTGAGTGAGACCTGAATAGACTAACCGCTCGAAGACCCCTCTCTCTTGAAAGTGTACTTTAACCGTTGTTGTGATATGTCATCCATGCAGGTGTTAAACTGGAGGGTCTTATGGTGCTTTTCCACTACCACCAAGAGCCAAGCCGTACCGCAAACTAACGGTTTTGCATTATAAATTCCCCAAGCCGTACCTGCGCTGACATGGCCCTGCTATGAAAGCATAACTATGTTGAGCTAGTTGCATCACCACTGACTAATTGACTGAAATGCAGGGAGATACGAGTGATCTGTCAACATGCATGGATTATCAGGAGGATAAAAGGGCATTGTATGTAGTATTTATTAGTAGTATCGCACATTGCGATATATTGCTGCATTTCCAATAACTAAGAACTTGAAAATATCTGGTCTCCTGCTTAAAAAAGTAATATAGAACAGCTGAAAGGAATGAATTCATAATGCAAATTTAGGCAAACTAATGCTAATTGCGCTAGTGATTGATGCAAGCATATGCAATTCTCTGACATGCCAGTGGAAATTAGCACGTAGCAAATCATGAGGTACACCGCATGAACAGTAAATAAGTGTCTCTTCACTTTCACGTCACCGTCACTCTCCAAACCTGGCATGCCTCTGCTGAACCAACCTGTCTGTAGTGAGAAACTAATGCAAGCTGAAACTGCACTGTAACTAGTTTGTGGTATGGATCAGGTATAGCTTTGTTCCTGAATGCCAGTGGAAAAGCACAATTATATTTCATTATTACATAATAATAATAAAAATATGTTTTGACAGGAGGCAAAATTTCTTGGTGATAAAAGATCTTGCTAAAGTACAAAATGCAGTCTGGACAATGCATTGGTCACAGACCATTAGCACATAAATCCTTTTAAGTTGCCGCTTTCTCATCCATACTAATTGTAAGCAACTCTGTCTGCAGGTGAAACGTGGAACCCTTTAAAATTGCACTACCAGCTGAGGAACGTGCGGGAACGCTTAGCCAAAAATCTGGTGGAAAAAGGTGTACTCACCACAGAGAAACAGAATTTTCTCCTCTTTGACATGACCACGCACCCGCTCACCAACAATAACATCAAACAGCGACTCATCAAGAAAGTGCAGGAGGCCGTACTGGACAAGTGGGTCAACGACCCTCACCGGATGGACAAGCGGCTGCTAGCCCTCATCTTCCTCGCCCACTCCTCCGACGTCCTCGAGAATGCGTTTGCCCCACTCTTGGATGACCAGTATGACCTGGCAATGAAAAGAGTGCGACAGCTGCTGGACTTGGATCCTGAGGGCGAGAGCATTAAGTCAAACACAAACGACCTCCTCTGGGCTGTCGTGGCAGCCTTTACCAAATGAGTGAATGGAGATGAAAGTGAAGAGCCTTGGACCACCGAGATTGAATTCTTGATTTTGGGGGTGTTGGTGGTGGTGGCGGCATGATTTCCTCCTGTGCTTAGGTCATTGCCTGTGCAGGTTATCTTTCTGTCATGTTTCCCCAGCTTGTAGATACACCTTCCCACTCCCTGGCCCTCCCTGTGCACTGTGAGATTGTTCACTTTTCAGTCACGTCGCAGGTCATCCCGACTGAACTGAAAACAGAAGCACACACTAAGTCATTTCAAAATCCTTTGTATGGTGACTCTCTTCCACAATCAGGAAAGAGTTTGTTTGGAAACTTTTGATCTCGGTTATATACTGATGTTATACTTCAATGAAAAAAATCAAAGATCCCCCCCACCCGACTTTTGAAGGAAACATCCAGAGTCCTTCATTCACAAAGTGTTGCTATAAAGCTATGACCTGCCTTCATATAAGGGAGGGAGATAAAAAATAATGTAAATTGCGCCTCTTTTGTTACATACTTACACAAATCACATTCCTTTCTGGGGGCTTCATTTCTTTAGAGTAAGCAAGCAAATTTCTTCTTTTTTTCTCTGCGGAAGGTTTCTACCTTGTCTCCGTTATACGCTTGACACCTACTCTATGACATTTTCATAATCTTCATAACTAGTACTGCAGCCAGACTGCTGCCTGCACACCCTGATTTAAATACCGCAGTCATGGAGTGGGAAGCATTCCATTGTGTTTTGTAAATAGTTTCTCGTATTCAGACACTTGTTCCTGTAGCCAGTTATACTGACCCAGAACACATCTGGCCAGCACTTGAGATTAGAACATTCTTCAGGGTGTTGTGGCCAATCATCTGCTTTTTAATTCTCCTTATTTTGCCCATTTTACTGTACAACTGTGTACTCCGGGAAAAAAAAAACTTATCCGACTGTTGTCTAGCCAATGTTTTGTACAAAAGGGGCCGTGATTGACTGTAAAGGAAGCCTTTGCCTT